CCTACTGTGGAGCATTTAGTCGGTACACCACCGTCATTACTCCAAAATGGATGACATTTATAATCCGGGAAAATTTTACGAAATAGCTTACCCGGGTCCGCACATTTCTGCGGGACGTCAAATAACCGTATATATCACTTTTAGGGTTTGGCATCTACTGCAATGTTTCAATTCTGTCATTTCTAACCCTCCTGCAGCCCCACCGCGAGACTTCAAACGCACCCTCAACACCGTTGTTATCTGCGAAACCAAATATTGACCCAGAGTCGATGGTTTCGTCGGAAACTGACGCCATCGATCATCTGACAATACGCCCTTCTTCCTCGTCACCCTCCTCCACACCGCTGGAGAAACAGCCCACTTCAAGCACTTTCCTACAACCCATTGCACCGCCACTCCCTTTATCACAATCAGCCACCAAGCAGATTCGCGGCTCCGAAAAACTCTGGTTAGAACATGAGGTTCCTGAATTCGCCTCAGACGCTGAGGATGATACCGTTAACGGTGGAGATGCAGATGAATATGACCTTGTCTCCATTGATTCCTCTTCTAACATGGGTCCATGGCCAGCCTTCCTGCCTAGACCACTGTCCCGGCGCCCAACCAGACTCGGCACTGTTGATACACCCTCCACATCCTCTCTGCGTTCCACATACTCTCTGGATCCACACGCCGTCAGCGGCAAACAGGAACATCAAAGCACGTCAGCGACGCTCACCAAATTTAACCGATCCTCCGCTGGTGGTGGACTTGGAGGTGACAGTGCCACACGAAAGAGTATTTGCCGTTCCATGCTAGATGGACTACGCACCCTGCGACGCTCCCTGGCTGACCCGAAATTTACGGCTGCAGAGACAGGACTCGCCCGTGGCCGGAAATCGGTCTCTGGATATGATCTCGCCTGCCGACCTCGAGTCCCTATCGCGGAGACCGAGGGTAAATTATCCTGTGATGATAAAAGCAGAAAATTAAAAACTGGGAGCTGGCTCCTGACTCGTCATCGCCTCCCGAGACTGGGTTCGGTTGATGCTCGCCGGGGTAGCCATTCTCATGGCGTGTCTACACCTACACTAGACAAGGTATTGTGCTCTGCTCTACCGTTTTCGCCTATCAGTTTAGCCATGATGGTTAGACTGCCCGTTAATATGGTTCCACACAAAACTCACTGTTTCTTTGACCACGAGACTTCCGTGACGTTTACCATTTAACAATCTCATGAAAAGAGTTGAAAGCTAACGACTTTTAAGCAAAGGTAGTTGGGAACCATTCTTATAAAATACTTATACTCACGTTGATAACGAATTCAAGCTGCGATTGAGGTACTGTTAAAAGCCTTTGCCGTATGAAGTTGTCGATGAGAACAAGATATCCACTTAATCTGCCAATAAGACAAAACGGATCGTTTAACAGATGAAATATACGCGGATATGCACAGTCGATCCGAACCTTGCATACATGACTGCGTGCCCTAGCTTCAATACATGTTTTACCTTCAACACCGTAAACCCAGTCGACTTGTGGTCTGTTGGCTACAAGTCTAGAAGCACTAGGAATATACGACACAGGCTTCGACTTCACTAACAATATTGCCCCGTTAAGGCGAAGTCAAGGCCTGCAGACTGTGGTGCCGTCGATGAATAAAATAGTTTACTTAGTTTATTCACTGACACTGCGAAACTCGAGCTGTTAGTGAGAGTTATTTGTAAGCAACAGCGAGCACACCTGTGCTAAGGACTCAGCCTTAAAAAGTTTACCGTTTCTATTATCTTCGGCACAGTTTTTGTCGTTTCAGTGTCCAAGCCCCCAACGCTATATCGCAGCGGCCATCAGTATCCTCATTTACTGGTCATCCATGTAGCATTTCTCGTGCTTCTGCGGATGATGGAGTTTGAATGCGCGAGACCTGGGGGTTTCTGGCCATACAAAGTATAGGTTTGCTGACATCTAAAACAAGACAGTCCGTACTAGCTGAAGTGGCTTTACGAAATCACAGACCACTCAAAAATGTGGACTGGGGTCTTTTTGGCACGCTATTCATTGCTAACCCTAAAAGTTAAGTGTTAGTGCTTACTGGAAGATCGCGAAAAGGAAGCCAACTAAAAATCTTATCCAATATAGATGGCTTAATGATTCGAACGTCAGTGGAGGAGAGAAGAAACCCAATCCTCTACATCCACTGTCGCAGATACCCGTTTGCGAATATAGTCTGAGATACCAATAAAGATGGTTACGTCAGAAAAGGTCGCCACCATATCAAGTAATTACCCGTTGATTAAGAACGTCTAAAGCAGAAAAGGCCTTAGTGGATTGTCCCCTGTCTTTGTCGGTAATACATTGTCTCAAGCTCTATTCATAGCCCTTCTTCAACTGCTGACATGAGATAGACCTTCCAAG